AGATTTGCCCCCGTGTGATAACGTCCCTAATGAATTAAAGGTAGGTTAAATGGGATAGAGATTAGAAGGATGTGGAGGATACATTACCAATACAGAGGCCAGGAGCCCAAATCGGGAGGAAAAATTGCAGGCAAAACTGGACTCAGATTGTGGCCTGGAAAGCGGTCAGCAATCTGAGGAGTCTGTGATGAAATCAAACAGTATGACCATCTGGCTTCATCAAAGAACTGAAACAAAGAGCAACCCACTCCTTCTTACACCTTTCCACTTTGCGGGCACCTTAGAAGTAGAAATTTCCATGGGGAGGAAAGGGCCATCCCCCTGTATCATAAAACATAGCCACCCTAAATAAAAGAGGTGGCAGGTCCATATGGCTTGCTTCTTTGATGTCCGGATGATGACAAGGAGCAGAACCATCTTTGCCTCTGAAATCGGAGGAACAGAATTGAATTTCAAAGGATACCTTTCTGCCTCTGTGCCCATAGCATGTCATGGCAGCATCACTCTGAGTGCTTTCACTCAGGCCTACATGACAAGTTACCTCTTTTAGGATGGAGTTTGATATCAAAGTTCAGTTAAAGGCAAAAGGGGCTCTTGGATTTAACTGCTGGGACTAGTAACAGATGTGAGTGAATTTGGCACAGAGGTAGTAAGATCCAGAAGGAAGCTGGCACGTTTTCTGCTAATAGTGGATAAAAGTAATTGTCGATTCATTCTAGAGCTGGGGAAAGTTGCTTTTTTGGACTGCAAATGCCAGAATCCTCCCAGACGATGGTGGCTGGGGGATCTGGGAATTATTTTCCAAAGAGTATTTTTCTTCCAAGCTCTGTGAAAGATCAATGAGGTTTTCACTGTTGGTGATCTGTGCAAGTTGTGCTACACATATATGGTGTGATCTTTTTTCCTGTACAATGTACAACAGTTAAATCTATTTGGTGGTGTCAGCAAAGTTGTTTGTGCATGCTCTAGAACATTAAAGCACACTGCTGTTGTTGTTGTTGTTGTTTGCCTTCTAGTCTTTTCTGACATACGGCAACTTTTAGGTGAACATATCATGGGGTTTTCTTGATAAGATTTGTTCAGGCAAGGTTTGCTATTGTATTCCTCTGAGGTTATTGTATTCCTCTGAGTATGACTTGCCCAAGGTCCCCCAGTGGGTCTCATGGCCAAACTGGGAATTGAACCCCGGTCACCAGAGTCCTAGTCCAATGCTCTAACCACTACGCCACGCTGGCTCTTGAGGCTGAGAGACTGGCATGTAAATGTGCACTGCTCTCTGTGCATCGGATTTGCACATTACACATTGCAGTTGCTCAAGGGGTGGTCAACCATGCACACTGACCATTGAGCTTCATACTTTACACTGTGTGGGCATTCAATATAAGGGTTGCACAACGTAATTCTGCTGGTAGATATTTCCCCCATGCTGCATCGACCTAGTATCTCTACTATTACTATGCCTATTACTATAATATTCCACTATTCTAGAATAATAGTAACTGAGAGTTGGCAGCAACTCCACGGTCTTCTGGTCAGCATATTCTTCCTCTTCAGCCACCCAGCCTTAGTTGCCAGGGCTCAAGGTTTCCCGATCTCAGTTGATCCAAAACCCTATGGACTTCTTTCCGTGGTGGATAGCGATGGTTGTAAAATAGCCAGGACTCAAGGTTGCCAGATCTACAGGAGCTGGCTGAAGTTTCCGGGAATTGCTTGGCTTCTCCAGGTGTCTAGGTAAGGAAACAAATCTCCAGGTGAGAGGAGAACGTTCTGATGGAGGAGAAGGTTTGATCTGAATTTGAGTGGTACTTTAAAAAGCATGAATGTTAAAAGCTGTCTCCTCCTAGTAACACAAAGTAATAGAGGTAACACCATTTAAATGTCTAAAGGTTTCACAACCGTAGCTATCTTCAGTTGACAATGGCTCAAATCCTATATCGGAGCTGCAGAATTCTGCATTAATTGTGTCATACAACCCTTGTATTGAATGGCAACATCACACCACTGAACCAAGAGAAACCAAATGTACGTGTACATGATCTAGACAAGATCTGAAGCATTGGTTGTTACCTTTAAAGCCCTACATGGTTTGGGTCCAGCTTACCTATGGGATCACCGTCTTCCATATAATCCACCCTGAAAATGCAGATCTTCTAGGGCAGGGGTAGGCGACCTTTTTGAGACCTGGGCCGATCCCCCGAAGTCCTGGTCTCTGCTGGGCCGGGGGGGGGGGGGGGGAATGGCGGCCGCAGCGCGCATGGCCACAGTGCCGCCGCGCATGTTACGGCCGCCATTTTGATTTCCAAAATGGCATCCATGACACATTTGCACATGCGCAGGAGTACTGCGCACGTGCAAATGAGTCGCGGCCACCATTTTGTTTTCCAAAATGGCGGCTGCGACTCGTTTGCGCATGCACAGTACTCCTGTGCATGCGCAAATGCGTCGTGGCCGCACGGAGCCCAAAATGCGCAGCAGCGGTGGTGGCGGCAGGGGTCCGCCTGGACTGGTAAGTCCGGCGACCTGGGCCGAAACTGGTCCGGGGGCCGTAGGTTGCCAGCCCCTGCTCTAGGGGAAATCTACTTCAGTCAGCCAAAACTAGGCTCACAACTGTTACCCAGAGGACTTTTTTTTTTTACTTACTTCCAGTTTACTTACCCCCAAAAGACTGTAGTGCAAAAATGTGCAGAAAATCCCACAATTTTTGTGCAAAAATGAAAAAAAAGTCCAAGTGAATTTCTACACAGAACAATGTGCTGAAAAATCTTTCAATGTGTGACCATCAGATGAGAATTGTACAAAAATACAATTCAGAGCGAAAATTGCAGCAGAGAGAAAATTGCAGAAATTATTAGCCCTTGCATGCAACAATGAAACAGGAGAAATATTTATTTCCTTATTCCCAGGACCCTAAATTACTGAGTCCAGAAGGGGGCAGTGCTCTTTCCTGTTTCACAGGAATTCAGTCACTCGAACACAAGACCAGCTGAGTCACGCTCTCCATTCCCCCAAGCCTTTGTCACAGAGAGCAAGACTCTGGATTCCTTTAGGCAAGCTGCAAAGACTGAAACATTCAAAACCCACCCATTAAAAATCAATTTAAAAGCTCCAAGCGTGCCAAAGCCTTCATGATTGTATAGTTTGGTAGTTGCTGGATGAGATGATCCAAGAAACTAGAAAGAATACCAATGGGTGCCAACAACATGAAAGGAAAAATCTGGTCTTCCCCTACTCTTGTGTTATACAATTGGCCAGGTGTTTTGTCTCTCCGGAGGACATCATGGGGAACAGAAGACCTTTTTGGCTCAGAGGCTGAAGACTCAACCAGTTGGCCAACCCAACGGTTGGCCAACCCAACTTTGTCTGCCTTTCTTGGTTCTCCCGGGCATTGATTAGTTCTTGTCCCAATCTTGCCAAAATTATTCCTTCCAAGGCATTCCTGCCCTATCACACCCCTAATGGGGCATCTCTCCAAGATTAGGTTGGCACCTTCTTTCTGCCGCCTGTCTAATCTCTTATGCACCTTGGCATGCCTCACACTCCTGTATATGACTACTAAACCTTGGCATGATTTTAGGATATGTATGTTGGGGGGGTTATCGATGACTCATTGGGCAAAGAGAAGGAATGGAGAGAAATTTCCAGAGCTGGGAAATTCCCTTTAATGGCCTACGACACCCAGAATCCCCGGCCAATGCGGTCCCTTGGATGCTGCTCAGGTGGCATAACTGCAAAGGCAGAGAAGACACTGCCAAATGTAGAGTATTCAAGAAAAATGTAGGAGATGACCAAACAAAAGCTAAAAACACTCATTTAAATGTCAATTTGTGCTTCGTAGTCATCCTCCAAATGGAAGACATTCTGGAATCCTTCCTGGACAGAAGGCTGAAATGGTGGACATGTCCAAGAAAAAGAGGACGTCTGGTCACCCTGATGCTGCTAAGTATAATGACTTCCAAAATCCACAAAACAGTGATACCTTTATTGGCTAACAAAAATGCACAAAATGCATGATTCAAGCTTTTGAAGCTCCACTGACTTTTTTAAAAAAAATATCAGGCCAAGGTATTAAAAATCACACAGGAGAAAGAAAGACAATGTTGGCGTCATAGGCCTACATTTTGTCAAGGTGTTGTAATAGTTGTTCTCAGTTAAGATGGCGCAAAGGGATATCCATGTCGGCAGAAGCCATTCCTCCTCCTTGGCCATGTGGGTCCTGGGAGACAAAGGATCCTAAACTCCAGGAAAGAAAACTTAAAGTCCATTATTAGCAACACAACAAGAAAGGATGCTGCTATTACCCAAAAGAGCTGTGAAAATTTCTGTTATCTCCCTGTTATTGCGCTCCCCTACTTCTAGAACTGAGGTTCATCCAAAGAAAGACATGGCGGTCTCAGGTTTGAAGACTAGGAAAGGAAAGCCATCCTTCCAAAATGCATTATCCATGTGTGGAATCAATGTCCTCAAGTTACTGAAATAAGCACTCATCCCGATGGTTTTCAGGGAACAATGTTCTTGAGAACAATATTGCTGTCCAGGATTGTTGGTGATAAACTGAATCTCTCTTCCTTGGAGGTCTTTAAGCAGAGGCTGGATGGCCATCTGTCGGGGATGCTTTGATTGGAAGTTCCTGCATGGCAGGGGGTTTGGACTGGATGGCCCTTGGGGTCTCTTCCAACTCTAGGATTCTATGATTCTTTTTGGAGGTAATCTATCACTGAATGACCAGATGTTGAGGAATGAATAGGTTAGCACTGTCCTCTTGCTTGTGGGTCCCCAAAGGCATTTTGGATGGCAAAACTAACAAAATGAATTTCAACAGGGAGAGATATTAGGTACTACATTTCAGAAGAAGAAAAATGAAATGCAGAGATATAGGATGGTGGACACCTGGCTTGACAACCATACCTGTGAAAGAGATCTAGGAGTGAAGTCGAAGGCCTTCATGGCCAGCATCCATAGGTTTTTGTGGGTTTTATCGGGCTGTGAGGCCGTGTTCTAGAAGAATGTATTCCTGATGTTTTGCCTGCATCTGTGGTTGGCATCTTCAGAGAAATCTTCAGTGATCTAGGAATCTTAGTGGACCACTGTTGAACATGAGACTAGGACCTGAAGCAGAGACTAGGACCCGAAACAATGGATGCAAGCTACAAGAAAAGAGATTCCACCTCAACATTAGGAGGAACTTCCTGACAGTAAGGGCTGTTCAACACTGGAACACACTGCCTCAATGGAGATTTTGGTGGAGTCTCCTTCTTGGAGGTCTTTAAACAGAGGTTGGATGGCCATCTGTCAGGGATGCTTTGATTGGGAGTTCCTGCATGGCAGGGGGTTGGGCTGGATGGCCCTTGGGATCTCTTCCAACTCTATGATTCTATCATTCTATGATTCTATGATCACTGGACCACTGCTCCAGACTTAGTGGACCACAGTTGAACATGAGTCAACAGTGCCGTGCAGCAGCTAAAAAAGCCAATGCGATTCTAAGTTGCATCAATAGAAGTATAGTGTCTACATCGAGGGAAGTAATAGTGCCACTCTATTCTGCTTTGGTCAGGCCTCACCTGGAATACTGTGACAGCTGTCGGCAACATAATTCAAGAGGGATATTGAGAAGCTGGAGCATGTCCGAAGGAAGATGACCAAAATGGTGAAAGGTCTGAAAACCGCCAAGCCTTATGAGGAAGA